GAGATATGGTGGAGAAGAGTGAGACCCGCCACCAGCCTACTGAGGGCCCCGGGAGCCTGCAGGATGGCTCACAACCATCAGCTGACACTTCGCTGCTGGCTGACACCCTTCCGGGATGCAAGTTAGCAAGTCAGATGACAAGCAGGTATATTCTCCCCAGGGCCTTTCTGAGATTCTTAGACCAGGCCTTGCGGGGTTGGGGTGGCTGGGGGGAAGCACACTCCCTCAGAGACCCCCACCCCACCACTTTCCTGCTGTATTCCTGCAGTGAAGCATCACCAAAAGGCACAGGCTGCCCGCCACCTGCACTCATCCTAACTCTTACCCCGGACTTGCTGGATCTTCTAAGAGACTGCACTCTCAGAGGGCTGTTTGGGAAGGAGGCACAGGACTGGTCTGTGTTTGGCAACCGCATGTCAGCCAGAATTCCTAGGGTGCAGCAGGCCAGGGGACTAAATCTCCTTGGGTATTTGCCTAAATCCCCCAGAGCCAACGGTCATAGAAAGTGATCTCTGAGCATTTGGCAGCAAATAATGAGGGCCCTTAGGGCTGGTGTAATATAGACCTAAATTACCACTACTAGCTGTGTGTCCCTAGATACATTGTTTACTCTCTCTATTCCTTAATCTTTTCATCTGCAAAATGGCAATAATATCTTTTTATTGAAGTATCATTGATACACAATCTTACATTGGTTTCAAATATACAGTATACAACACAGTGATTCAACAGTTACTCATATTATTAAATCCTCAACCCAACTAGTATAGTTACTGTCTGTCAACATAGAAAGATGTTACAGAATTACTGACTATATTCTCTATACTGAACTTCACCCCCATGGCCAACTGATATCATGATTGAAATTTTGTGCCCCTTTCTCCCCTTCACCTATTTCACTCACCCACCCCAACCCCTCCCCCATGGCAACCACCAGTCACTTCTCTGTGTCTCTGAATCTACTGCTGTTTGCTACATTTTGTTTTGTTTTGTTTTGTTTTTAGATTCCACTAATAAGTGAAATCATATGGTATTTGTCTTTCTCTATCTGACTAATATATTTCACTGAGCATAATACCCTCTAGGATCATCCATGTTATTGCAAGTGGTAGGATTTGTTTTCTTTTTATGGCTGAATAATATTCCATTGTGTATATGTACCATCTCTTCTTTGTCCCTTCATCTAATGATGGACATTTAGGTTGCTTCCATATCTTGGCTATTGTAAATAGTGCCAAGATATGGAAGCAACCTAAGTGTCCATAAACATGTCTTTTTGAATCAGGGTAAATTCCTAGGAGTGGAATTACTGGATCACATGATATTTCTATTTTTAGTTTTTTGAGCAACCTCCATACTGCTTTCCACAGTGGCTGCACCAATTTATATTCCCACCAACAGTGCAGGTGGGTTCCTTTTTCTCCACATCCTTGCCAATACTTGTTATTTCTTGTCTTTTGGATAGGGGTCACTCTAACTGGTGTGCGGTGAAATCTCATTGTGATTTTAATTTGCATTTCCCTGATGATTAGCAATGTGAAGCATCTTTTCATGTGCCTGTATTCCTTCTTTGGAAAAATGTCTGTTCAGGTCCTCTACCCATTTTTTTAAATGGGTTATTTGGCAGTTTTTTTTGGTGTTGAGGCATCTGAGTTCTTTATATATTTTGGATGTTAACCCCAAAATGGCAATGATATTAACACCTATCTCATAGGGTTTTTGTGTGTATTAAATTAATTTCCCATATAAGGCACTTAGAATAGTACCTGGCAGATGGCAGGTGGTCAATACATGCTAGTTGCTAATATTTGTTTTCTTGCTTATTGTCTTCTACCCCATTAGAGAGTAAACTGCCTGAGAATTTGAACCTTGCCTGTCTTGTGTTCCTTTTTATCTCCCAAACCTGGCATTCAATGATGCTCAGTAAACTTTCACTTAACAAATAAGCATCATCGATGCAGCGTAAATGTCCTGCCAGAACCTCAGATTTAGTAAGTGCCAAACCACTAGGGGCTATGTGCTCCTCATGGCTTCCAAATCTGACCCCTTCCGCTTGCTCCATCACTTCCACAACTAACCGGCAACTAAGTCCTGAAGAGCCTATCTATCTGTTTCTGCAACTCAGCACCACTCATTCAATGCCCACTGTGCACTGGTCATGATGAAGAGCCTATCTCTTGACTCCGTTCCCTCTCTCCATTCTCCCATGTCTACCTTGGCTCAAGCTCACACATATCTATCTCCTGGCTTTGTAGAGTGGTGTCCTGAGGAACCCCTGCTACCCACCTGACCTCCACCTTATATCTAGAGTAGGGATTGTCAAATCATAGCCCTTACGTAGGTCAAATCCAGCCCACAGTTTATTTTGTAATTAAAGTTATATGGGAACACCCATATAACTTTTTTTTTTGTTACCATGGCAGAGCTGAGTAATTGAAAGAGACCCTGTAGCCTGCAAAACCTAAAATATTTACTATCTGGCCCTCACAGAAAAAGTTTGCTTGCCCCCGATCTAGAGGAACTTGGCTAAGCCTTGTGTTAGTTATGCAGAATATCCAGTGGCTCGCCATGGCCCACTTGCCCAAATCTGAACTCCTCAGTTAGTATTAAGGCTCTCAAGTGTCAGCTGCTAATCCACTTTATCTTCTGCTGCTTTTCCCATTGCACTCTGCTCACAAGTTCCATCCACTTATCCACTTGCCAGACTTCCCTGTCTTTGGTGCCATTTCCTGTGCTCAGCATGTCCCTTCACACACCCCTCATGGCCTATTCCTGTTGAAAGCTGGTCCACCTTTCCAAGTCGGCCTCATAGGCCACCACTTCCCTGAGGCCTTCCTTGCCAGCTGGCTGGAAGCTCTGCCTCCCCTGAGCTGCACCACATTGTTTTCATGTCTCATGGTCATGGTCCTGAGCATGCGGCTCCACTCCTGGTTTCTGAGTGAACTGTGCCAGGTCACCTCCTCTCGCCCCCAGGCCCACCCCAAAACTCCAGGCTCACTTCCTGTGGGACTTGGGGCCATCTATTCTGTATCACCAACAGCTTTGCTGGCACACACAAAGTGTCCGTAAATTTTCACTGCTCAAATGACATATTATTTTCCTTGATTTAGAGAAAGAGGGTTTCTAATGTAAAAACTTGGCTTCCCTTGGTAAGGGAAAGGGAAAGAGAACTCAATGATGAGCTGACTGGGAATTTTCCTTTTTTTTACCCATAAGATTTGTGTATGTCCTCCACCTCATCATAAAGAGCTAAAATATTTGCTCTTAAAAATTTGGCGACTGCTGGTAAGTGAGATTAACCAGTATTATACCAGCTGAGCCCTGGCTCATTTCCCCCAACACCATCTATCATCTTGGGTCTAATTCCCCTGTGGTGGCTGCTGTTATTGTGAATCACCAAAGGGGAACTCACTTGAAATAAATCATCCTTTCCATTCCAATGAACTTTGTTCAAAGATGACAGAAGTAGAAACCTTGTCTAATTCATCTGCAAAACTCTGATGTGGAATGGCAGTGTGGAATACAAACAGACCAAGTTGGAAGCCACTTATGAGCTACCTGATCTTGACCAAGTTTTAGGTCTTTTGGGCCTGTGTTCTCATCTGCAAAGTGGGAATAACTTGTCACTTCACAAGGTTACTGGAGACATTAAGTGCCCAGGAGAGTGCCAGACGTGCAGCAAACACTTCACAAATCTGTTCCTCCCTCCCCTTCCTCCTCTGGGCATGGGCTTCCAGGTTCAGGGAGGCTTTCTCCAGCTTGTCCTGCAGCTCGCCGAGGTAAGAATGGGATGAGGCTTTTGGAACAGCTCTAGGAATTGCCAAAGGCAGGTGCTAGAGAGAAACACTGGGTGGGTGCATGTATGTGTACATGTATTTTGTATGTGCATGTGGATATGTGTGCACATGTGAGTGTGTGTGTGTGTCTTGGCTACTGTCCGTTAGCTGTAGCTGCACTGGCCCACCTGAAACTCCTGTTTGCTTCTTCAATGAAGTCTCACTCTAACACTATTTACTCCCTTTTTCAGAAACTATGGTGCCATCCCTTATGTCTATAGATAAAAACCCAAGCTCTGTTGCCTGTCATTCAAGGCCTTCCACAGCCAGCCTGTACTGTCACCCATTCCTCCCACAAGAAAATGGCCTGTGCCCCAGTCCCGTTGGATTGCTCACTACTTTTCAGAAAATGCCTGAGTTGCTGGCTCTCTGCATTAATACATGTGACTCCCTCAGACGGACGCACCCTCCAGCCTGCCCCTGAAGCCCTGTCCCGGGCTGCCACTGTTGAATTCTTAGTTGCCCTTCAATGCTCAGCTCAGGTCCAGCTTCTTTCCAAAGCTCCCTCTGACATCCTGATGGGACAGAACACCTGGTGCTCCTCCCCTTGCACGCAGAGTGCTTCCTTGGCCCTCTCTTTACAGCCCTTTTTGTCATCCTGCCCTGGACGGCTGGGTGCTCCTTGACTGGCCATCCTCCCTCAACTAGTTTGCAAGCTCCTGGAAGATGAAATCACCCTTTACCTAGCTCTGCACACTCTCCCTCCCCATCAAGGACCTCATATGGGGAAACTTGTTAAATGTAAGTTGAACTGACTTAACTGCATATTGAACGGAATATGCAGGGGCCTGGGCCTGCCCTGATACCTAGCCTGCTAGCCTGGGTTTTTAGCTGCTCTAGTCTGTTGGTTGGCAGGTGGAATCACATACAAGAGGCAGGCAAGTCCAGGGGTTAAGGGTGAAGGCTTACAAGTTGTAATATGACTTTGGGTACTACTCCTCTTTGAACCCTGATTTCCACTTCTGCAAGATGGTGACTAGGAAAAAAACCTATCTCGCTGGGAGGTTGTGCAGCTAAATGAGGTAACACAGTGCTTGGTTTATTGCAGGGCTTCAGTCCAGGGTGGCTGTGAGACTGACAAGGCAGTTGCAGGGCAAGATGCCGGGGGGCCCTGGGAGCCAGCAAATTCTCACTGGGAAAAATAGTCAAATTTACTGTTAATACCTTCACAGTTGTATTTGCTTCAAACTTGAACGCTTTGGTCTGTCCATTCTCCAAGTACAGCTTGAGCACATTGGGCATACACAGCAAAGAATTACCCTGGAAAACATAAGAGTAATGGTGGAACTGGCCTTTCAGATCCCCGGGAATGACAAATCCTCAGTTTCCCTTGCCCTCTTGGGGTGGAGAGCAGGATTTCTAACCTCCTCGCCATGTTAGAGGCCAATTCTTGGCATTTGGAGGTTTCTCTAACAGAGAAGGCCTATGCTGCACAGAGAGTGGCCTGCTTTTTTGAAGGACAACAGGAGATATGGTGGAGAAGAGTGAGACCCGCCACCAGCCTACTGAGGGCCCCGGGAGCCTGCAGGATGGCTCACAACCATCAGCTGACACTTCGCTGCTGGCTGACACCCTTCCGGGATGCAAGTTAGCAAGTCAGATGACAAGCAGGTATATTCTCCCCAGGGCCTTTCTGAGATTCTTAGACCAGGCCTTGCGGGGTTGGGGTGGCTGGGGGGAAGCACACTCCCTCAGAGACCCCCACCCCACCACTTTCCTGCTGTATTCCTGCAGTGAAGCATCACCAAAAGGCACAGGCTGCCCGCCACCTGCACTCATCCTAACTCTTACCCCGGACTTGCTGGATCTTCTAAGAGACTGCACTCTCAGAGGGCTGTTTGGGAAGGAGGCACAGGACTGGTCTGTGTTTGGCAACCGCATGTCAGCCAGAATTCCTAGGGTGCAGCAGGCCAGGGGACTAAATCTCCTTGGGTATTTGCCTAAATCCCCCAGAGCCAACGGTCATAGAAAGTGATCTCTGAGCATTTGGCAGCAAATAATGAGGGCCCTTAGGGCTGGTGTACTCTGCAACCAGTGAGAGGTTCTAGAGTTCCTAAGATTTGAGCTAAAACTGCCCTCAGCTCTAATCTCTGCAAAGAGTTTGTATATAAAGCTCACATGAGTAAAGAAGTTTATCATCTTTTTTAAAAAACCTGACAGACTTTTTCAGATGAGACCCTTGCATCTTCCAGATACATGGGCACTTGTATCTTTTAAGCAAGACTCACACTCATTACTTTCTATAGTTTTTTTCTGAAAGCACAGTATTTTTATGGAGGAAAAAGGAAAACGTTCATATCCCAGTGTCATTCCACACTCCATCAGGGATGAGGGATTTCAAACTGCCCACTCTGTCATCATCTCACTCCTCTGTTTTTTGGGTGTTTAGAAATCTTAATCTTTGGATTTCCCAAGTATGAAATTATTTTCCTTGGTACTTCATTGTTATTTACAAAGAACACATCTATAACAATATCACATAATTACCAGCACTTTTTTCTAAGGCTTCTTCTAATTTTTATCTATACCTGCAAATAGTTTTTAAATGTATGATTTTATATTCATTTTTTAGTCTATGCATATTTTATCTGTATTTTTTCATGTGGGCTTAATGTTTATAATTTGATTGGACTTAAAATATTCTATTGAGTTGAAATACCACAATTGACTTAACCATTCTACTGCCCTAAACATTTAGTGCTTTTTCCTATTTTCTGATATTTAAATATTACAGATATCTTTTATCTTCAATACTATAGATATCTTTAAATACATGCATTTTTTGCATTTAAATTATTTTACAGACTAAATTAATAGGAGTGTGAGCCTTAAAACTTAATGAATGCCATAAAAAATAGCCCACAGATCACTCTAATCACTCTATCTGTCCTGTCAGCTGGTTCTAGCTCCTACTTCTCATCATTATGTACTGCTCTTAAAAACGCATATTGAACCTAAATTAAATTTGTTGAAGAGGTTCAATCCATTTTCACAAACATGGAGACACAGGTTTGCAAATATTACTGAGTGACAAGATCTCAGGTCTTTTCTCATTAATGCACTAGGGCTCCCTCTGGGCCCTCACTCCCAGGCTAACAAAGGTGTGGTCGGTTAAATAGCATGACAGGAAGATAAGGGCTCTGCAGATGTGAACCAGATCACCAGGATTTGTTAAAATGGTTATGACTCCCTATTCATTGGTCTCTACGGTGAGAAGACCAGATAGGAACAAGCTCTGACTTGAAAGTTTCAAAATCTAAAATTATTGCTGAATTCAGAAAGGCAATAGTTACAGACCACTGGGGGAAAATGTGTGAATTATGAACAGATGGGACTTTTACCCAACAATCTTCATTAAAAACATCAAACTTCCAATATTTTCCCTTTGCAAATTGGTCTTCTGATCTCCCACTCTGGATCTCCCCATATCAAAACGGACTGGACAGCACTTCATAGTGGAAAACAAAAGAACTTAAGTCACACAGACCTGGGCTCCTGCATTTGCTTGCCATGTGATCTCAGAGGTCAATTGTCTGAACCTCTCTAAGCCTCTGCTTTCTCTTTTGTTAAAATGCATCCCTTGCAGGGTATTGTGACTACTAATGAGTATGTACCTGAAAAGTTTGGGCTCACATAAGACAGGTCCAATAGATGACAGGCTTTTGAAAAACAAACAAAAAAAAACAATCTGTCGCTGTCACTACTATCAATATATAACCCTCAGAGAGGATACTAAGTTTAAAGATTCAAAACGAGAAATTAGCGATTGCAATCTGTTTAAGTTTCATGGGCAGGAGAATGGCGCCACAGAACACAGCCAGTCACAGCCTGTGCTTTCTCTCCCTGGCCCCCACGGACTCTCCCTGTCCATGGTTTGTAGGCACCTTAATAAGGGTGCAGAGAGCCTCCACGAACCCTCTGCACACCCTTTGCATCCTCTCTGCACCGCGGGACTCCGCAGGGGGCTCCGGGCCTGGAGGCACCTCGCCAGCCTCCGGAGGAGTGATCTGGCTCTATGACTCGGATGTACCTGGCTGTGTGCACTGACGAGCACCTCCTCAGCAAAGTGCACCTTCACGGGGTTGGTCTTTAGCCTGGCTCTCTTCTCCTCAGTCAGGAAGGATGACTTGGGAGCTCCCTGCAAAATACAGACACGACACATTTTAGAAAAGGACTTTCATAAAAGCCATTTACATCTCACTTCTTAAAAACAAAAGCAAAATCTCTCATGGCTGTTGAGATTCAATTAAAACGCACAAAGAAGGGCAACATCCCATAAATACTCCTTTTCATAAAACCTAGGGATCCCAACCCAGACAATGTCCTTATGTGTCTAAGGGCAGTAGAAGATTCATCTGGTGGCAAAATGGTTGTAGTGTGACAAAGAGAGTTTGCAAACAAGGATGTCTAAGGGCAGTAGAAGATTCATCTGGTGGCAAAATGGTTGTAGTGTGACAAAGAGAGTTTGCAAACAAGGAGGCCTGAATTCCAACCCAAGTATGGCTACTCAACAGTTGTGAGAACTGCCTCAAACACAAATTCTTATGGAAAAAAACCAGTTCTGTGGGTTTGTGTGTGTGTATGTGTGTGTGTGTGTAAAATGAAACAAAATAACTCTGTGTGAGTTGTGCCAAGTCATTGTCCCTCTTTGCCCTTCAGTCTTCCCATCTGTACCATATGGGAGTTGGATCAGATACCTCCGTGGCTGGTTTCCTGAAGCTCTGACTCCTGTGGCCTATCCTTAGCCCCTCTTGTCTTTTGGGAGGTACCCTCTTTCCCCAGAGGTAAAAAGAGTCATCGCAGGTTGGGATGAGTATGTGGCCAAGCCCTTGGTCTAGACTGTATTAGGCTAAATTGGGATACTTAACATACAGCACTTGCATGACCTAGATCAACAGGATGTGATCTTCCTGGATGAGATCCTGATATGCTATTTCCCAGCCTGGCATGCTGTTTCCTTGGCCTGGATAGGCTTTTAGGCCAGCCTCTAGAATGCTTACATGGGTGAAAGTTCTGAGTGGAGCTCTGCGCCATGCTCAGTGTAGCTGAGGGGAGAGATATGTAACAGCAATCAGGGAAAGTGCTAGAAACAATGTTCACAGACTCAGATATCAACAAACCAATGCCATGAAATACACGGCATGAACAAGTGACCCTGAAATGTGAATGTAAGAAAGTAAGTGTGATGTTATATACAACCAGAATGTTGGTGGGACAAGGCTGATGACTATGATTCAGTATCTCCAATATATAGTTTGCTTTAAAAAAATTTAATAGAAAGAAAGAGAGGAAATGGCAATGTTCCCAGAGAAGAGGTACACCTGTGTGGTAATCTGTCAATTGGAGAAATTACTGAACTTCAATTTGCCTTCTTCTTCAAGCAGAATGGTTTTTCCAAGCAGAAGAGATAGAAGGAATAAAAGGGAAAGAGAAAGTTACAACTTAAAAGTTAGTGATGAGACTATCAGACTACTTTGAACGAGTTCAAGACTGCTATCCTATGAATCTAGCAGCTGGTGGATTTATTATATGTTACAGTTGGCATCACCCACAGTACAGAGAATGGAACAGAGAATATTAGAGGAGAATATTAGAGGTTTCAAGTTTCCCAGAAAATGAACATGGAATATTCAGGAAAACCCATGTTGGTAAGCTTGGCTTTAATTCTTGGCAAAATCTAAGACAAGAGATGGTTAGAGAGCTTTCACGCATTGCTCACTAATAATCAATACAAAATTATCAAGAATAAGTCAGTCAACCAAGTCCTTTTTTCTTTGAAAATAGGATCCCAAATGCATTGGTTCTGTGGATATAGCTGTATTCCTTTATTCTTGCCAAGAACTTGATAAGGTCTCCTATAACCCTCCTGTGAAAAAAGCCAGGTGCAGAGCCATCAGGTGGATTTGAACCTAGTTGGCCTACATTCAAAATCATCCTGATTTTTAAGCAACTCAGGCTCCCTTTGGCTCAGTCCTCATCAGTGGTGTTTAGCAATGCCTTGGATGAAGTCAGAGAAAGTGGACTTAGCAAATCTGTGACTAACACAGAGCCACAAGATGTCATCAGATCTCATGGAGCAGAAACTTGGGAGGGAAGGTAAAGGAACTGGGAATCTAAAAGAGGAAAACAAGAAACTTGAGGATCAAGGACAGCTCTGGGTCAGGCCAGGAATCACTAAGAACAAATATAAGAAGACGGAGGGCGGCAGGGTTGTCGAGGGCTGAACAGAACACAGTAAAGTGAGGGGTCAAAACAACAGGTACAACCATCACCACCCTAAAGACTCAAAGGAGGAATCCAAAGTAAGGGGCAGAACAGAAGAGAGATGCACAGAGAAAAGGAATCCGTGGGAGGCAATCACTGTTCTCTCTCACCCCAGGGAGAGCAATCCTGCAAGAATTAGGCCCAGAACTGGATCAGACTGAAGAAATGTGACTATCCAAGTAATGGAAGAGATGGGGGAGACCTGGGAAGATGTGGTGCCCTGACAAGGAAGGGAGAATGACTACAGTTGATGATGCCTATACAAATATGCCTTTCAGCCCCCACAATTTCCTGCCTGGAAATCTCAGCATGCCAGAACACTGAGCCAAAACAACATGATTTGACAAGGATTACTATGAAGCATGGCACTGAAGATCAAAAAAATCAACCGCACAAGCATGGGATGGGGTGGGGGATGCTGGCTTGGAAGCTATTCATTCGAAAGAGCTCAGTTTTTGGTGAAGCACAAGTTTCACACAAGTCAGCAATGTGACTGGGCCTGCTAAAATATTACCCCAATCTTAGGCATCACTAGCATTCTTGGTGCATGTCAGGAGTGCACCCCCAATTTCCTCTGGTCCTCTCACCACTCGACAATAGATGGAACCGAATTCCTTTCTGGGTGCCACCATTTGGGAGGGTTACCATGAAATCAGAATGTGTCCAGAAAGCTATCAGAGAAGTGAGTATTCAGAGATACACATCTTATGATGAAGAGTAGATGGAACAATGCTTAGCCGGGAGAAAAGAAGGCTCTATTTCCAAATCTTTGAAGAGCTATTCCATACAAGGTAGACTTGTTCTGAACTAGGACTACTTAGTGAGAGTCACAGGGAAGAAAAGCCTCTTTTACATTTGGAACCACTCAACCATGAAGCTATTTGAGAAAGAACATGTTGTCCATCATGGAAAGGTCCAACCCCCAGGCACCACCTGGCTTTACACCCGAAGGTCAGCTCTGCCATTTGTGTAGTCTGGTATCTAAAATACATTGTAAACCACTCACTTGAGCCACTAACAGTAAGAAGACCGTTTAAAGGATATGAACTACCCATTATTCTAGGTTGCTAAAGCTCTTTTTGGGTTCTAAATTAATTCATCAGAAAGCACCAGACCCGAGCTGATAAAAACTCTTTCTGTGCCTGTTTTTACTGAACTAAGAATTAATGCTTTGGAAGGGCATTGACAGGGACAAGTTGGGAAAAGTATCTTTTTGCTACCCTACAACCTCGATTTGCCAATATCATTTCAAAAAGACAGCAGGGTTTAAGGAGGTAGACTAGCATAATGCTAATGAGTGTGGGTTCTGGAGTCTAACTATCTGGAAAATAACCCAGCTCCACCGATTTCTACATGTGAGACCACAGGTGTATGAAGCCACAGTGTCCTCAACTGTAAAAGGAGGATAATGAATATATCTATCTTGCTGGATTTTCTTTTAGTGAAAATTCAGTAAGACATTAAATATCAGTATTAATATAACAAATAATACATTATAAATAATATAAATATAAATCTCTACAATTAAGCCAAAAATATTTTTTTCAAAGAATTCTATGTCCTACGAGTCTTACTTCACATTGTATTTGTCATTTTTTTTCTACCAGACATGCCAGAATAAAATCATTTACTGCACTAAAAAAAAAAAAAAAAAAGAATTCTGTGTCCTAGAGAAGTAGTAATCAATATCCCAACTTTGAATTTTATAATTCCTAATTAATTTCAAGCTATTTGAGGACTCTAGGAATCCACTGTGGCAAAGATGAGCATCCTGAACTGAAGCAAGAAATATATGGTCATTTGTTTTATGATCACAGAACTTCTGATGAGAGGCCTGAGTGGGTTAGACAATTCAGGGCACTTCCCAGAAGCACCGGGGCCCCCAGCTGGACTAACATCAGCTTCCCCTAAAGGACCTCTGGAGCACAACATTCATTTTCTCTTCTCCTTGGGAACCATATAGGAATCTCAGGAGTGGTACTGGAACATGTTAATTTTCCTCTCCCTATACTTACCATTTTTTAAAAGATACAGCTATAAGCTGCTTCCCTCTTCCTCCTTTAACAGGTGGTACCTTTTGCTTTCACCTCTTGGAAAAAGAGCAGGAAAAATCCCCCACCTAATTAAGATTAAGATGTTCTCTACTGAGATGATAATCAGCTAAATAAAAAGAATCTCCTAACACCTGCACAAAATTTTATGCTGATCAGCTTTCAGTATACTGTTTTTTATACAGTGGTTTCACATTATTTCATAGAAAAATTCTGTTTTGTATAGAAGAATCTCCACTTTTATTGTGCATAAAACACTGGTCTGTCATATTTATGGCAAACATCTTAATCCTACTTAGGTGGTCTTTTTCCTACTCTATTTCCAAAAATAAAAGAGAAAGATAACACTTAAAAAGAAAGATAACACTTGTCAATAAGGACAGGGGACAACAATTTCTTTGCTTTTTAGTATTGCAAAGTTTTTGGACCACAGGAATTTTTTATTTTCACATAATCAAACAACTGTTCTGTTGTGCTTCTGCTCCCTATATGCTTGGGAATTCTTTCTGTAACCTATGACCAGAGACACCTATCCATATTGTCTACATTCTTATGGTTGTTTTTTATATTTGATTCTTTAACACCAAATGGTATGAGATGAGACTTTATTTTTCCCAAATACTTAAAGAAATGTCCTAGTATGATTTCTTCAAAAACCATCTTTTCTCCCACTAATTGGGATGCCATATTTATCACACACTAAATTCTTATGTTAGTATATATTCTACGACTTCCTATTGATTACACTGGCATTGACATTTCAACAATATCATACTGTTTTAATTACTGTAGTTTAAAAATCTGGTACATCAAGGCCATTGTCATACTTTTTAAAAAATATTTTTTCTTTTTTTTTCACTGAAATATAGTTGCTGTACAATATTATATTGGTTTCCAGTACACAACATAGTGATTCAACAGTTATCTACATTATTAAATGCTCACCCTATTTAGTGTAGATACTATCTTCTCAACATAGAAAAATATTAGTTATTATTGATTATATACTCCATGTCATACTTTCATCCCTTTGACTAACTAATATTACGATTGAGATTCTGTGCCTCTTTATCCCCTTCACCTATCTCACCCACCTGCCCCAACCCCTCCCCTATGGTAACCACCAGTCCCTTCTCAGTGTCTATGAGTCTACTGCTGTTTTGTTCGTCTTGTTTTGTTTTGTTTTTAGATTCCACATATAAGTAAAATTATATGGTATTTGTCTCTCTCCACCTGGCTTATTTCACTTAGCATAATACTCATCCATCCATGTTGTTGCAAATGGCAGGATTTTTAAAAAAAATTTCTTGAAAATAATCTCACTTTGATATACTTTGTCAAAATCCAAATAAAAGTCCCATAGGGAGCTTGAATTTGCATTAAGCATATACATTAATATATGAGAATAAGCAATATATTAATAATAGTCTTCCCATCAAGGAACATGGTATATATCTTCTTTTTTATTAAAGATTTTTTTTACATCCTTGAGTAATATTCTAGTTTCCTTCACATAGGGCTCACATACTTCTTTTCCTTAAAGTTTTCCTATTTTCTGAATTTTTTCTCTTGAAGAACTAGCTTTTGAATTTATTTATCAAGTTTATAGTTTTTCTGTTTTCCAAAGCATTTTTGAGATTTTAATTTTTATAATTTTCTTTATTCTGCTTTGTTTATTAGTCTTCTCTTTCAACTTCTTGCACTGAATACTTATTTGACCTATTTCCTTATAAAATAATAAAATCATAGGTTATGAATTTTACTCTGAGTATAGCTTTACCTGCACATAAGTTTTAAGAAGTAGACTTCTAGTTTTTAACTTTTTTCTATCTAGTCTATAATGGTAGTTTTGCTTTTCTGTTTTTTTCTATTTTCTACTCCAACTTTATTTGTAAGTGGCTGGATGGTTTTAATTAAGTTTTTGTAGTTATTAATTTCTATTTTATTATACTCTGGAAAAGAGACTTATACAGTTTCTTGGGAGAATTTATATTAGAGTTTTTTTTGGTAGCTTGGTATGTGGTCAATTAGATTAGATTATTAAATGTATTATTAAAATTCTCTATTTTTAGTCTTTATGTGGCCAAGGCTAAGAGGTATGTATTAAGGCCTCTCAGAATGAGAATTTTCTGTTAATTTTACCTCAGTAGTTTTATCTCTTATAATCTGATGTCATACTTTTCCCTGTATCACATGTAAAGGCCTACTTCACCCATGGTGCAGGATTGCCATTTCCTCCCTGTGCACCATCTGTGCCACACCTTGCCCCGTGTTGAATCTCAGAGTTAATAATGTTTTCACAGCCAGCACCTCTTGTGGTCCTCATTACAATAGCTTGTTAGAGAGACAAGGCAGCTATTGTCATAACAGTTTCACAACAGTAGAAACTGCAACTAAATGACTTGCTCAAAGTCGTACCACTCCGACCTTTCTTGAAACTCCACGTTTGGTGCCCTTGTTGCTATCCCACTCTGCACAATCATAGGTCTGTATCCTTAGCTGGACCTCGAGTTCCTGAAGCCTGGACCCACACCTGTTTCCTCCACAACAGCGGGGCATGGGCAGTCTTCAGGCAGTGTAGTCTGTCTGGCCACCCACTGCCGGCAGGCTGTCCCTTCTGCCTTTTACTTTTCCTATTTCTTCTCTGAGGGATATCCCACTGGAGATATGGGGGATTGGAATCAAGAAGGGTGAAACTAACACACAGGACATAGAAAGGAATTTACCGACGTGCCGCGAAGAACTGTGATTGAAAGTGAATCTTCAGCTTCCCTGAAAAGAGAATAAAGACAAGAACGTTTCATCATTCTGGGTGGGGGTGGGGGTGGGGGTGCTGGTGGTGGTGGTGGTGGTGGTGGTATGTGTGTGTGTGTGTGTGTGTGTGTGTGAGGTTAAAAAGACTGGCAGAATTACAAAGCAGCCTCTTTAAAATCAGCTCTTTTGGCTCAGCAAAATTGAGGAGGACATTGAGGGAAGCAGTGATTGAAAAGGAACTTAAGCTGTCCCCGAGTGTCCCTTCTACCTTGACAGACTTGTCAAGATACCTGCCTGTATCATCTAGTCTATACCTACAGCCACAAAATTAAGTCACTTAACCTTAATGCAGTCTTTCTGATGAAGAACTCAACCAGTTGCTATGACCATTAGCTAGGTTTATGTCCCCAAAAAATATTTTTTAAGAGAGAAAACACAATAATAACACAGATAACTCAGGTTGCTATTTCAGAAAACTAGGTCTAAACATTTCACTAAATAGAAGGAATGTATGGGGATAACATCAGACAACAGCCAACCAGTTTATGGTGGTTTTTAATTTTTTGCAATAAATCAGTATATTTTATTTATTTTAAAAGCAAACAAGTGAAGGAAAGGACAATAGCCTTTGGTTCATTTATTTATGAATGGAAAAAATTTATAATGTGAATTTACTCATTAAAAATCTTAGGTACAAATTATAATATTACATTGTGTAACATTTACAAAAAATGTATGATACATTTTTTTGCTAGTTCATATGGAGACCTTAGAGACTCAATTCATTTCAAAAGACTTGAGTATGAGGACTCTAAGTAAATATTACACAAATCAGAAATACCTCAAATTCTTTAAAGTATACTTCAATACATAAATTTGAACATATGCTTTAAACAAATACTATATTTCAAGAATGAGAGAGTCTAAACAAAATATGACCAGCATCAGCATTTAAGTTTTCTGATTTTAATATTAGTCTGCTATAGCATTAGTAACCATGCTTCATTGAAACATGTAACAGCACAATCTAAATCATGATTTGTTAAATATTACACCCCAGCCCCCCAGAATATTTAGGCTGGTCATAAGTTAACAATGTAAGTAGGTATATAAAGCATAATCAGTTGTGGCACACAAAGTCAGTGTAATAAGCCCAGTCACATAATCAAGAAACTAGATATTTTGTCTTATATATTTTAGATTCCAAAAGTGATCAAATCAACCAGATAATTGCCAAACTTCTACTTTGTATTAGAGGGCAGAACTGAAAAACTGATTCATGTTTTCCTTTTTCTTTGCCATTACTACACAGAGGAGCAGTTTGCAAGATAATTTCATTTGACTCCTTGTAATATGAAGTGCTGCTGGTGTGTTATTTCTTAAGTGGATAAACTCAACCCAAGGTCTTTGAGAGTCTGGGGATTGCCTCTTGTCCATTTTAGATGGGAACTGGCCTCCTCTGAGATAATTCACAACAAACCAAGGTGCAAGTGCTCTCAGAAGGAGATTTTGGCCTCACAGGTAGTTAGAGGAATTAAAGAGGTTTTGTGGGTTTTTTTGTCAGGCCATTTTTGTTTTGTTTGATTTCATAAGTGGCAACGATAAACAAATAAGCAGTCCTGGGATTCCCATCTTCAGCATATAGCAGGGAACACAGATGCACAGCACACATCTGCATGTGCCTATAAAACATCTGTCAATCTCCTTCACTCCCATCACTGACATTCCTCCACCTTAAAGCCAGTGCTAAACCATATTCACTCATTCAACTGAGTAACCACTGTGTGCCTACCCTCGAGGACATAGTGTTTTAGGCAGAAAGTGAGTGATTCACACAAATGATAATGACACTGGGTGGAAGGTGACAGGTGTCGTATCAGTGAAACTGCACACGCCAGCCAGACTGTACTTGTAAGAACATTTAAGGAGAGATACCGGAAAGAGTAAAGAAGACCAAGCAGATTTAGTACCAACTTGGTCCCATCTTTGGGCATATGTTACAACCCTCTAAATCCTTACAGGATGGGGCCTAGGCATTATTCATAATGACATTCCCTACAGTGCCGAGCACAGTGTCTTGGGCACAGCTGGGGCTTGACAGACACAGCACCCTGTGCCTTCCACATGCTTCTGGAAGCAGATGAAAAAGATGGTATTCTAAAATGTAGCAGGTATAGAATGGACACTACTAAGGTCACGGGGAGGTCAGTTACGCCACTTCTGTTGCTCATCTGGGTTCTAAGATAACCTGTGAGACTCTGGATGGTGGAAGACAGTTTAGTACCTCAGGATATCGATCGCTCGTTCACAGGAAAGGGCTTCAGGGGGCTCGTTATTCATTTGAAGGATCTGATCACCAGGGAAAAGCTTGCCATGAGCAGAGCCTCCTGTTGGATAGAAAAGAGGTAACTGGTACTCATGCCAGGAGGGCCCAGACCCCATGTGTCACAGCAGTACGCCCAACCCGCAGCCTGCTCCAGTCCCCAGCCCAGCCCAGCTCCACCCCACATCATGTGGAGCTGTTTTCTGTTTACAAACCATGGATGAGGTACCAGCCATCACCTTCAAGGGATGTTAGGAGACTGTCCTGGGAACAAAAACTAGCAGAAACCCACTGAATCAACAGAGCTGGCCAGTGAATTTACTACATTCACCTCTGGTATATGAGTATGTGTGTAAACTGAAAGTGATAGATTTTAACAAGTCCCAGAGATAACATCAATACATAACATATGTAAACAAACACTAGACATTCCCAGCCTGCTCCTCTTTACCCTATATAGCCTATATTTTACAAAGATTCAAGTGAAAACAAATCAGTAATTTCTATTACTGTCTGGACAGAAACCCTCCCCAGTTCAGAGCATGCAGAGTTCAAAGAGGAGGGCTGGCTGATCCCAATACTGTCACTGCCCCTGAGACGGCCAGGGAGCCACGGATGGGAAAGCGCTGGCTGAGGTCAGTGGGAGCCTGGGTTCGAATGCTCTTGGGGCTCCCTCCCTCCCAGCACCAAAGGAAGGGACAAAGCCCAAGACAGAATTAGGCATGCCGTTTTTAACTTCCTGGGGTAGCACTTGAAATATTACGTTATAGGATAGAGATGGGAAGAGACTAGGGCTGTTTCCCCTCAACAACCCAAACTCCTTTCTCATTTCCCACTCGGCCCCTACCTGCTGTGACGGCCACCACGGGCCCCTACCTGCTGTGACGGCCACCACCGTGAGGGGAAGGCTCTCAGAAATGTGAAATCCATAGTCTTGGAGGAGGGCATCTTTGTCTATTTTTACTGTGCGCTTCACCGGTGTGAAGGTCTGAATTGGGACCCCAGGGGGCCCATCAGCAGCAACAACTTTAGCTCTGGAATACAAAAAGGAGTATGTGCAAAGAGAAGGGGGACTCTAGTTGGTGGTCACACACCTGGTCAGCCCTAGGCAGAAGGAGACACAGAGCTGAGCAGACCCCCGGTCTCTTCCTGGCAGTGATAAGGCACAAATACCAGTACATAAAACACCAAGTAGAACAAGCAACTTGTTCTACAAGAGAAATCATGAGGTGTGCTGGGCCCTCAGAAAAGGGGGGAAGTAGTTTTAGCACTGTGGGGTGGGGGAAAAGGAATCAGGGAAGCATTTGCTACCTGGAAGGGGTGGCATTTGAGCTGTGCTTTGAGAGATGTGGAGAATATACCTACACAGCCCAGATCCTGGCACACAGAAATCCTCAGTAACTGCTGCCGCCTGGATGGACGCATGGATGCATGCACAGACATTCCAGGCAGGAGGCACTGCTTCAGCAGAGGTACAGAAGAGGAAAAACATGGACCACGAACAGGAATGAGAAGCTGTTCAGTTTGGTGTCTGAAGGCTAATTTTACAGGTGGATTGTTTCTTTGGTGATTTTTTCTCTTTTTTGCTTTATGATGAATTCTACTTCTTTTTCAACTTTGTAGCTATGAGGATTCCAATAAGAAATCCCAAATAGTGAGGACTCGCTCTACATTAATCCTTAAAGACACATATGTTCTTTCTATATCTAAAACCAAGTAAGTTGAAAATTTTATTTTCTGTCGCACAAAACCACAAAGTGGGTCAAAAGCTGTTTTTTATTTTGTCTGTGGCAAATGATTTTTTCCTTCTAAGACTCAGTGGTTCTTTCTGAGGCAGGTTGAATAGTGATTGGATGAGGTGTTTGTTGTCATTATAAACAGCAGGAGTGTGGAGCAGTAACAGCTCACCCTGAGCTCGCCCTGAGCTCTATCATTTACTCTCATCCATTTACCAAACACCGTCGGGAGCTGTGCCTAATGCAATAGGACCTTACCACCTGAAAATCACCTCTCTGTCATTTATAATAAACTCAAATTTCAACAAGGACCAAGAAATATAAAAAACTGTCTCATGGAGCCAAAATGCATGTGACAAGTCCAAGCACAAAGCCTCAGGCACATGATCCATCACGGAGCTCCTCACACCCTGGGTCAGAGCCGAGTCAGGCTGTCTGCACAGATGATGACCTGATTCACAGCTTAGAGGCAAAGATAGATTCCTTCTCGGCAAGCACCTGGGTAATCCTGAGAAGTGTTAGCAGATAGGCCTAATGAGGGGGGAGAAACAGAAATTTTTGAAAATTTGTACTGCAAAAACCCATAGCTATTCCTAATTTAAAAAACAAAAATTGAAAGCTATGAAAGGGCCCTTGTAAATATAATAATATCTCACACTGAAAGCCAAAAGTCGATACTTCTGTTCCTTTGAAAAAGCAACAGGAAGGATACCCTAGATACTTACTCCTATTTAATGTAGCAGGAGAAATGCCTGTGATCATTATCAGAGAAGGAAAACCAGTAAGAGGCATACTAAGCATAGGAAATGGAAAAGTACCACTTTTTAAAAACAGATGATGAGATACACCCAGAAAACGATCAACAAAGAGCATTGCTAATGCTAAAAAAATAAGTTTAGTGGAGTTGCAGGATAAAAGCACAAAACACATTCGCCCATTCATGAAAAACATATTAGTTGAATGTGTTTTAGATGCTAGGCGCTCTTAATGGCAGATGCAATAAAGGAAGACATAAGTAACTGGGCAAAAGTTATATTGGTTTCCTGGCTGGGAAGACTAAATACTGAAAAATAAAAATAAGTTGTAAATGAAAATGCAGACTTCAGTAGTTATATTGCCTAAAAATTCTTCCAGACTTAAAAAAAGACTTGATAAATTAATGATGGTATAATAGCAATAGCAACAATGATAATACCCATTAATAACACTTATTGGGCACTAACTACATATCAGGGGTGATCTAACTTATTTTCATAGCTCTCTCACTTAACCCTCATGACAAACTTGTGAGACAGGTATGATTATTGTCCCTGTTTTACAGAGCAGAAGACTGAATCTTACTTGGAGAGACTTAAACTTGCTTACAGCTACACAGGTGGGGAGGGGGCTTCAAATTGGTGCTACTATCTTTAAAGGCTCCTAGGGAATTGCTGACCAAATGGGATATGGTGCAAGCCACACATATAAATATAAGTTTTCTAATAGCCACATGAACAATGGAGAAAAGTGGAAAAAAACAGGTGAAATTAATTTTCACAATACATTTTTATTTTACCCAATATATCCAAAATAGTATCATTTCAAAATGTAATCAACATAAAGAAAAATCACTGACAAGATATTTTGTCTCTTTTTTCATTTCAAGTTTCTGAAGTCCAGTATGTATTTCATACTTAGCATACCAGTTTGGACCCTCTATTTTCATCAGACATACTCAGATTTCACAAAATTTCTAGTTACAAAGTATATTTTCATGCCCAAGTTGTTCCAAACATACTTAATAGTTTTCCAATAACTGAATTATCAGTCTTTACATTTAATTTAATTAAATAAAATTAAATATTCGGCTCCTCAGTTTTACATAAATACAAATAAATAAATAAATTGGATAACAGGATAGGAAAACACATGAAGAAGTTATAAAAGCTTATAACTATTTCCTCATATACACAAAAATGAACTCAAAATGGATCACAGTCTTAAATGTAAGGGCTAAAACTACACAACTCCTAGGAGAAAATATAGGAGTAAATTTTAGTGTCATTTTAGATATGACAATAAAAGCACAAGTGACAAATGAAAATACAGTTTAACTGAGCTTTGTCAAAACTAAAAACGTTTGTGCTTCAAAGAACGCCATTAAGAAAGTGAGAAGATAAACCACAGACTGGAAATAAATATTGGCAAATCAAAATCCAAGAAGGACCTTGCATCTAGAATACATAAAGAATTCACATGACATAAAAGAAATAGACAAATAAGCCAGTTAAAAAGTGGGCAAAAGATCTGAGCAGACATTTCTCCAAAGAAGATACACACAGCTAATAAGCACATAAAAAGATGCTCAACATTGTTAGTCATTATGGAAATGCAAATCAAAACCACAGTGAGATAGCATTTCATACCCACTAGGGTGGCTATAATAAAAAAGACAGGTCAAGTGTTGCCAAAGATGGTAGAAAAATTGGAACCCTCACACCATCTGGCAGCTCCTCAAAAGACTAAACATTGAATAACATATGACCCAGCAATTCCACTCACTGGTATATCCCCAGGAGAAATGAAAACACGTCCATTCAAAACATGCACACAAATGTTCAAAGAAACATTGTGCATGTTAGCTCCAAAGTGAGTCCAACCCAAATGCACATCAGCTGGCAAAATGACAAAGAAAATATCCCATGGGGGAATATTATTTGCCAATAAAAAGGAATGAAATGCTAGTACATGCTACAACATGGATGAACTGTGAACACAGTATGCTAAATGAAAGAAGCCAGCCCCAAAAGACCGCATAGTGCATGACTCCATTTATGCATTATGCCAAGAACATGAAATCTATAGAGACTTAAAGTGGATTAATAGTTGCTTTGGGCTGGGTACAGGAGAGCCCTGGAAGGAAATGGGGAGTGATTGCTAATAGATAGTGAGTTTCTTTCAGGGGCAATAAAAATCTTCCAAAATGGATTGTGGTGATGGTTGTACATCTCTGAATATGCTAGAAACCAATGAATCATGCACTTTGGGTGAATTGTGTGGCATGTAAATTAGAGCTCAATAAAATGTTGAAAAAAAGAAATCAGTTATAAACAAAACTCCTGGAGGAAGAGGTAACTATACAAATACTTGAAGAATGGCCATATATACATATCATATATACATGTGATACCTAGATTTCACGTGTTCAAAGCAAGTGAATTGACAACTTACACAGAAAGATATAAAGTTGATAGATAACATGGAAAATGTACAACCTTATTAATTAAAGAGGCAGAACTGAAAGGGACCCAGAGCACTAGTACATGTCTACAAAAGCACCAAATAGGAACTTACAATTATAAAGCCCAATATATGTGGGGCCTGGGACTTAAGACTGACCATGTAAATTGGCTATTCAATCTCTCTAGAAAATAATCAGAGAAAATGTAATACGAACTTAAAATCTGATCATTTTCTTTGACCTTTTCTTACCATTTTGACTGACATTCCTCAAAGTAATAACGCCAAACAAAACAACGAAATATTATTTGCACTAGACTATGAGCTCCTAGACTATGAAGTCCTAGAACAGAGTATGAGCTCAACACACCCTGGCTCTTGAACATTCAAAAATATTTATCACAGCTTTATTTAGAATAGTGGAAAACAACAGCCAACAGAGGGTAGCTAAGCCAAGCACAGTAAAGAATTACCCCCAAGACTCTATATCAATGCCATATCACAAGCCTGAGAACTTTAGACACACATGGAAACATAGCTGAGAAAAATGCCTTTCAAGAGCATCCTGTAAAGTATGGTTCAGATCCCCTTCCTGAGGGAGAGCTTGGGTTTTTCTATCCCCACAGCTCCCCACCTCCCGCAGGAAAAGGGCAAACTCCTCACCTTAACCTCGTGGTCCTTTGTCTTCGGGTCTCAGGCCCTAGCCAGCAATCCCCACCCAAAACCCATCTCAGGCCTTCACTCCAGACTAATCTTACCTGCTCTGCCAGTTTTACCTCTGGGCCTCAATTCACAACCCGCCCCAGCAGGTAAATATATAGCCAAATCAAGTCCAACCTGCAATATCATCCTCTTCTGAAAAGCCTCTGATTTTTAACTAGACAGAAGCCCTCTCATCTCTGAACTCTGACCCTCTTTTAAGGCCCAGAGCACCTCAAGCTGGGTCACTGATAACAATCTGATTCCTTACATTATTACCCCTCATAGACTATAAATTCTTATAAGAAGTAATACTTCTTATTCACCTCTGTATTTCTCACAGCACAAATCTCTGCCCACAGGAAGCATCTGTGCTTATT